TATTATTGTATTCTTATCTATTTGATTCTTGAGATTGTGAAGGATTGTTTGATGTATGTAGATGCTCCACTGTTTGGGGCATAAATATTTAAGATTATTATATCTTGTCAATGTATAGTTCTCTTAAGCAGTGTGAAATGGCCTTGTTTGTCCCTTCTGATAATTTTGACTTGAAGTCCACTTTATCAGACATGAGGATAGAAACCCCTGCTTGTTTACAAGATCCATGTGGATGATATGTTTTCCTCCATCCTTTTACAATGTCTGTGGATGTCTTTGCCTATGAGGTGAGTCTCTTGCAGAGAGCATATGGTTGGGGCTTACTTTTTTTTTAATATATTTTTTTAATTGTAGTTGGACACAATACCTTTATTTTATTTATTTTTATGTGGTGCTGAGGATTGAACCCAGGGCCTTGCATGTGCTAGGCAAGTGCTCTACTTCTGAGCCACAACCCCAGCCCCTTTTTAAAATTTTTTTTAATATTTATTTTTTAATTGTAGTTGGACACAATACCTTTATTTTGTTTATTTTTGGGCTTACTTTTTAATCAAGTCTGCCAGTCTGTCTTTTGTTCGATGAGTTTAGGCCATTTACATAGAATGTTATTATTGAGAAATGATTCYTATTCTCTGTCATTTTGAATTATTTCTGGTATTTAATTTGAATTACCTTCTTTTTTGATTGACTATTCTTCTAGTGTAGTCCCTACCTTTGCTGGATTTCATTTTTATTTTTTATTTCTTTTTCATGAAATAGTTTGTTGAGAATGTTCTGTAGAACAGGTTTTTTAGTTTTAACTTTTTWTTTTAATCATGAAAGTTTTTTATTTCATCATCAAATCTGAATCTTAGTTTTACAGGGTATAATATTCTTAGTTGTTATCCATTTTCTTTCAGAGTTTGCTATACATTATTACAAAACTTCCTAGTTTTAAGGGTCTGGGTTGAAAAATCAGCTGAGATCTGACTTGGTGTCCCTCTAAATGTTACTTGACTTTTTATCTCTGGAAGCCTTAAGAATTCTATCCTTATGTTGTATGTTAGGCATCTTCATCATAATGTGACTTGGTGTAGGTCTGTTGTAATTTTGTRTATTTGGGGTCCTAGAAACTTCCTGTATTTGATTTTCCATTTCATCTTAAAGGTTTGGGAAATTTTCAGACATTATTTCACTGAAATGATTATGCATTCCTTTGGTTTGTATCTCCAAGCCTTTATCTATCCTAATAAATCTTAAATTTGGTCTTTTCATGTTATTCCATATTTCTTGGAAGTTCTGTTTATGCTCTCTTACTGTCTTCATGCTCAACTTTATTTTCAAGATTATATATTTTGTTTCTGTCTAAGACTCTGTCTTGCAAATGGTCTAGTCTGCTGGCCATAGTTTCCAATGAATTTTTGATTTGATTTATTGAGTCCTTCATTTTGAGGGTTTCTGTTTTTTTCCCCCCAGAGTATCTATCTCTTTATTGAAGTCATCTTTTTCTTCCTTTATTTGCTCCCTTACATCATCCTTTACCTTGAAGATCAGTTTAACTATGRACATTCTAAACTCCTTCTCTGACATTTCTTTCATTGTGRTGTTGACAKATTGGATTTTTGATGCATTTGGTTTGTTTGAGGCAATTTTTTATCTTACTTTTCCATGTTGTTTATATGTCTACCCATCTAGTAGTTGATTTTTGAGGCAGAAGAGTTTCAACATTGCCACATGTATTTCTTATCTCATAGTTTCCATTGGTCTGGGGTTGGTTGTGACCTGGCTGGGTTCTCTGATTCAGGTTGTGACCTGGTGTCAATCAAAGTGTTGACTGGGCTCCATTCATATTGGGAGACTTCACTTGGAATAATCCATTTTCAAGCTCATTCAGGTTGTTGACAGAGTCATTTTGTTGTGGCAGCRGAACTCCAGAGCCTTTCTGCTTCCAGTGCAGCAGCAGAGCCTCTGGCTCCATTCAGTCATGACAGAGTCCTTTGTGTGGTGACATGTAATCACCTTTGCCTTATCCTGTTGCCTGAAATGTCACAATATCTGCTGGCACTCAAGGAGTAGGAACTTCTGGTTACTAGGAAGCTGGATTATTGGTGGTTACCCTAAGGTCTGTCCATCACAAAGAACCAGAAGGAATTTTTGTTTGGGCATAGAGAGACAAAGAAAGGAACAGCTAAAAAGTTGGAGTTGTCATTAGGTAAGACCAAAGGAGGAAAGATGGAGAGTTTGATTTTGGCTACATAAGGATTGAGATAACTGTTACACGCCCACATGAAGATATTAAGGAGAGTTGCATATGGGTTATGAGAGCCTTAACCTAATTAGTGCATTAATYCATTCTGTGGATTAAYTGGGCAGTTAGGGCATTGCTGGAAGAGGTTGGTCACTGGAATTGTGCCTTTGTCCCTGGTGAACAGAAGGTTCTCTGTTTCCTGGCCATGCTGGAGCTACTTTCCTCTGCCACATCCTTCTGCCTCATCACAAGTCCAGAGCTATGGAGGTGGCCAACYKTGGACTGAGACCTCTGAAACCATGAGCCCCAAATAAACTTTTCCTACTTTAATTGTTCTTGTCAGGTCTTTTGGTCACACTCATGAAAAAATGAACTAAAACAAACTTTAAAGTGGTACTTAAAGACAAGAAATGAGATCAAGAGGAGTGAGGGTAGACAGAAAGCCAGTCCAAGCACTGGTCCATCTCCAATATTAAAAAGTCAGGCAGTATAGGAAGAGCCAGTGAAGGACACTGAGATAAGCATGCAGGAGAGGGTGGGGCCCTTGCTGTTTTTATGTGTTGATTTAACCGGTTCAAATCTCAGAAAGCAGTTTACTTGTTCATCTCCCTGTTTGGAAGACACCTATCTGCTCAGTTACCTAAGAGTCTCTAAATGTACTGCTTTTCAGTATGGACTTAGATGCCATATGTAAATGGGAAAAAAGATTGTATTTTGTGGAAGTTCAACAACCAAGTTTGCATTTTTGCATAAATAAGCCAGACAAATTTAGGCTAACTCTGGGCAACAGGATCAGTGGGAGTGTGTGAACAGTTTTATTTTGGGACCGACACCATAAAAATCAGGCTAATCTGTAAGCATACTTGTCCTTCAGTGACACAGGTCAGGTGCTTCCTCCAAAGTGAAAGGTTTCAAACAGTGGCATCATAAGCTGTCTTCCCCTGATGTATTCATAAAGGTAGTTAATAGGGGCATTTTTAAAATTAGCACAAACACATTTATTCATCAACCAAAGAGATGATCGTAATTAAACTAGCACTTTGAAATAGTTGCATGTAAAAWGCTTGCAATAAAGATAATGAACAAAAAGAAGCAGCAAATAGAGATTGCTCATTGAACTGAGCTTGTTCTGATTCAAAGTGATGATGRGATTTCATTCTACTTTTTCATAGTCTCGAGTACAAGAGACATTGTTCATGATGCATCCTACCACTCATTTTCCATCTTCCAATTTTTGGGCTTCTGTGCTTGCCTTCCCCTCTCATTCCTGATGTTGAACCAATATGCTGTTTGGAAAGTTGTCAGCAGCCTGAGAAGTGTGTTCACACTTCTCTCCCAGGTTATGAGAAAACTCTGCTTCTGAAGTGCTCTTGGTTTTTGTGGTGAGGTATTTGTTACCACATGAGGCAACACCATCTGTTTAGCCACTGAACCCATTTTTGGAAGAGCAATTCCCACTCCTGCTCCCTCACGTGCTCAACAATGCCTCTGCTCTTTAGCAGGCGCCATCTTCCTACCAGCTGCAAGATGGTGGCCATGGTGGGCACAACTGGATGTGTAGAGCAGGTGGCACAGGATATGGCTTGGGGGGGGGTGCCAGAGACATTTTGTGTATATCCTCTAGCAAACATTTATTTCAGTATCTACTGGTTATATAGAGAAATTTATAGAGAAATTTATGAAAATCATTAAACTGTTAACTTTTTTATGGGCATGAGAATCCACCACTGGTTCACTTAAATATACTCTGAATTTAAGGAGATACTCTGATACATTTTACTTTGGATAAAATCTTTTCAATTCTTTAGAACAGAGAAATAATCATAAAATTCTAAGTGAGGGAAGTAGAAACAGACTCCAGTAGTGCAAATTGAGTACATTATAGGTAGTATTGTAGATGATATAAATACAATGTACACACACCCATATCATTAACTCTGTATATTAAAACTATGCCACTCAATTCATGGTCCTCATCACACATACACAAAAAGTTGAATGCTCACTTAGGAAAAAAGTTTTTTTCTCCAGTTTCTCATCAAGTGTGTCTTAGGAGTCTTCATTGCTAGACAGTCAATGCAACAAACAGTGAAGCTTATTTCTTAGTTGGGCTGTGTTGATTCAGAGTTAATCATGTTTTCAATCAGTGTGCAAATAATCCCATCAGCTTGCACACAGATTTTATTGTAGTCCCCATTTAACTAAYGAGGAAATGGAAGCAAGTTGAGCCCCTTTCTCTGAACTCAAAGGATGACAGGGAGGCCGCCTGTCTCCTGTTGGRCCACACAGGTGACATCCCAGTTGGGGTCTGTTGCATCCGGAAGCAACAGCTACAAGCCGGGTAATGAAATGTCTGTTTTGCCTGAAGGTCAAGTTAGTTTATTTGTTTTTTAATTAAGCTGAAATTATAGGCTGGATGAAAGATCCCTCTGTGAGTGGTGATCCTTTGAGTAGCTGCACGAATTTTTCCGTCTCTCGCTTTCTTCTAACCCCTTCTTCTGTTTGCAGGATTAGAAAAGCACTTGGGAGGCACATTAATCTTGCTGGCGTTGTCAGGAGTGATCAGCAAGTTTTATTAAAAGCCCCTGGATTGGCTGAAAGGCGTYCTTGTGGGAGTCTGGAATGAAAGGGGCATGTTAAGATCTYGGGGCACACTGTCAGGACCCCTCGYCCTGCCCCTGGGACTGTGACCTGAGCTGTGGGAGGAAGTGCAGAAGCCCTCCTCTGTTGAAGACATTCTGTGATGGCCAGAAGCGAGTGGGCCCCTGTCAGCATGAGCTCTCGAGGTCGGGGTGGCCTCAGTGTCCTCCTGCTTCTGCTGCTCCTGGACCGGGCCAGCCCCACCTTCATCAGCCTGAACCATGGGATGAGGGTGATGAAGGGCAGCTCTGCCTTCCTGTCAGAAGATGACCTCAAGTTTGCCATCCCCAAAGAGAAAGATGCCTGCAAAGTGGAAGTYGTGATGAATGAGCCGATAACCCAGAGGGCAGGGAAACTCATGCCACAGGTGGGTCCTGTCTGAGATTCTCTGTTCAGTAGCATGGATGAGTTCCCGTGTACAAGAGTATGTGAGGGAGGGGGAGAGAGAGGGAGGTCAAAGGTCTCCTGTCTAGCCCTCAAAGTTGAGTACTGGGAAGAAGTTCACATTTGAAATGCTGGGGTTGAAGTTCACAGGCAGAGTATTGTACTCTTTTTCTATGTGAGGTGGAAGCTGTTTTTCAATGTCCTTGACTGATTCTAGCTAAGTCTACCACTGACAGGRTTTACTCTTAATTATGCTAACACCTGTGGAGGAGGTCAGGCTCAAACTAATATGGATGCTTGCATTTTTTTCTTAATAATGCACTGTATCAACAGGGCTTTCCAATTTCTCCTTTTGTATTGAAGAGAACTGCTTGATCTTATAGAGTAGTTAATCATCCAGGGAAAAGCATAATGTAAAAGAAGTACAGACATGCATTTGAGTATATTGCTAATCTATGAGAGAGAGAGAGAGAGAGAGAGAGAGAGAGAGAGAGAGAGAGAGAGAATGAATATGAATATGGGCAGCCTTTAAGAGTTGGAGTGGGCAGTCACTTGCAGTGTGTGCTATGGAAGATTCTTATGGAATTCTTCCTGCCCCAAATTACCTCCCCCATTGCCAATAGTCAGGGTGTCTTTTGATAAGAAATTAAGGTCTCAAGAACATTTTAGGACATAGTTGTGACCTCAGAATAGTAAGGGTAAAACTTGAGTAAGGGAAGAGAAGTAGAAAAGAGACCTGGAGAACTAAATATTCAGTTTATCAAAAATGTCTGCATAAATGTTTCCCCCTTTAATCAAAAGGAGACCTTTTTATTTAAGGGTATTCTATGGTCACTTCTTGGGGCTGGGGTGAGTGCGTGGGGACAGAACCTAAGAGTGCTTTACCACTGAGCWGTATCCCCCAGTCATTTAACTTGTATTTTTTAATTTATTTTTTTGTGATAGAATCTTGCTAAGTTGCTGAGGCTGGCCTTGAACTTGTGATCCTCCTGCCTCAGCCCTTCTTAGTCACTGGGATTTCAGGTGTGTACCACCATACCTGGCTCTATAGTCACTTCTTTCGTAGAGAAGAATTCCCTTCTAAACTTTTATTTTCCTATATTGTCTTTGCTTAAAGCAGAAGTTGACCCCTCTACGTAATAGAAAATGACCTTTGATTTTATCACTTGTTCCTGCTGTGACTTAACTTTCTCCCAATGTAAACAATCTTGAGAATATACTGCTGCTGCTTTTGGRAAAATGCACAAATTCCAATTGCTGAACCATGAACACAATTTCCTCTTCGTTTGGCTTAAGAARTGTGTTCATGAAGTGATTCAAACAGTACTCGATATTGTAGAAATGGAATAAAGAGGCTTAAATAGATGCTAGCTCCAATGATTATCTCTAGGCATTTCATTTACCATAGTTAAATTTATAGTCCAATTCTGAAATATGTGAATTCTATGGAAGGGAGTCTCACAATGGGGGTATACGGTAACTAAATGTCTAAACYAGATGTGACAGTAACTAAATGTCTCCCACCAGATTCCTTTGAGATTTTCTTGTGTCAGTCAAAGACCTTTSGGTAGGATCTTAAACATAGGATACAATCATGTCCATAAGTATGGAGACGTTGTATTCCCGAGAGTTTGGTAGTCCCAACTTCTCCTTGTATTACGTAGCAGCAGGCAATGCAGAGCAACTGCAGGGATTGGGGTCAAAAGCCAAGTGAAGAATTAGGAGCAGCAAGATGGCACCTTGGTCCTAGTGGCTTGGAGTCCTTGATAAGGCATGGACCCAGTGCAGTACTAATACAAATATGGACACCTTATAAAGATGATCAATTGTTAATATGCTACCCTTTCCAATAAATATAGTTTTTAAAAAGGGTCCAACACTTAGAAATGACATTATTTTKGGGGAGAGAGAAGTAAATTCCTACTGAGAGCCAGCAGGAGCAAGCTGTCTAAGCTGTTGTCCCATGCAAGCAGGACAAAGCCCTGTCATTCACCAGTTTCTCCTCCTTGAAGGCAATTTGGAATGAATCTGTTATTACCTAGCAGCCTCTGAGGTCAGTCCTCTTCCCACTCCAGATAACCTAAGACTCCTCAATACTGTGGCACTCTCTGAGAATATGAAGTCCCCTCCAAGATAGTGAGTTTTAATGGTTCTGCTTCTTTGGTGCTGAGGCACAGGGGAGCAGAAAGGGATCCAGGTGATGAGAACTAGATAAAAATCCTATGTGGTCACAAGGATGAAGGGTTGGAGTAGACCTCTGAGTCATCTCTTTCAGATTTTAGGGCAAAACTCTGGTTACTAGATAGATAATCTGGAACAGAAATAACAAAATGCCTGGCTGATTTAGGAAATTCTTGACTGCTTGGAAATATCCCAAACCACATTGATCCTTTTGTTTCTGTTCTCATTTTTAAAAAATATTATTGAGGGCTGGGGTGTGGCTCAGTGGTAGAGCGCTTGCCTAGCATGTGTGAGGCCCTGGGTTTGATTCTCAGCACTGCATATAAAGAAATAAAGTAAAAGTCCATCGATAACTTAAAAAAAAAAAAAAGAAAAGTATTATTGATCCCTTAGTGTGCTATTGCTCATGTTAAAAAAGTATTATTAAGTTCTGAATGTTCAGTGTGTGCATTTCTAGAAGTACATATGATGTCTCAAGTTGATTTACATAATCTAAAGTAGATATGTGATTTTTATCTTCCAAAATTGATTCTATGATACCAGTAAATCAGGAAGCTAAGGCAGGAGGATCACAAGTTCAAGGCCARCCTCAGCAACCTAGTGAAACCCTAAGCAACTCAGTGAGACTGTGTCTCAAAATAAAAAATAAAAAAGGGCTGAGATGAAATTTCCCTGGGTTAAATCCCTAGTACAAAAAAATTATTCTATTGTATAGGAGTCCATTAAAATGTAGAGTCTCATCTCCAGTTTACCAAATAGCAGAACTTTGTGCCATAGAAAATTTTATATAGTGAGRAAACAGTTTCTCCAGCCATCTATTTTTTAAATTTCTGATAATTTCTATAAAAAACTAGATTCTCATGTAAAGTCTGAGTTGAAGGGAATTTGTGCTTGGTTTTTAACCCAAGCTGGTTCAGCCCTCTCCAGAGATTTATTGCTTATAGAGTTCTTGAAATTAAGCATAGCCAAGTTCACACACACACACAGACACACACACACACACACACACACACACACACACACATACACAGCCTAAATATTATTCATATTTAAATATATAATATATATATAATATATATTTACAAACACTGTTTTTTATAACTTTATTGTGCTTTATTTTTTTATGTGGTACTGAGTATCGAACTCAGTGCCTCACACATGCGAGGCAAGTGCTCTACCACTGAACCACAACCCCAGCCCTAAACATTATTCTTTAATAGAGCTTAATATTAAGCTTAAAGCTAGGCTTATGTGAACCCATTTCTAGCAAGATGACTGTATTAACAACACCCTGCTGTGTAATGAACAGTTTCATGTGATTTGCACAGAAAATGTTTTGCTTAACATCTGTTCAATTAGTGTTTTCATTTCATTACTGAAGTTTGTCTTAGAACCAACAGGTTCATTTTCCTACTAGATATTTGGAAAGGGACTTCAGTGGGTGCATGCCAGTGCCTTCTGTTGAGATYACCCCCTTGATAGAGTCAATTAGACAAGGTCGATGGCCGTGTGTCGTACTCCTGTTTTAGGACAAGACAGCCTCACTTAGCAGTTCTGACACCTGACCCWGAGCAAGAAGTTTCCTGGGTGGAAAAGCACCTTAGTTTAGCGCTGAGCTTGCTTTTTTTTTTGAATGGGAAATAAAGCAGTAAGAAAATATCTCTAGTTTGAACTAGTTTACTGTCGTTAAAGTGAGTAATGAGTTAGGAATGTGTGACAATTTAATTATAAATTGTAATTGAAAAGCAGTTGAAGTGGAAAAAAACAAAGCTAGACAGTAATTAGAAAAGGATTTAGCTCTCCTTTGTTTTAGTTAGTAAATTTATGGACAATTATGGTTGTCGCCTTTTATAAAAGGAAAACATATTACGAAACATTAAACAGATGTTTCTTTTAGCAAAGCAGATTGTCTCTTTATTACCACGACTATTTGTCAATGGGGTGGGGAAGGGCTTCTCTTTATCTCCTCCCTAGTTATCAAATGAAGAGGAGAGCCAGTGATATCTGTAAGACAAGAAAGTCATTTGTATTGGTAATAACATCTTCTCAGGGTGGATTCTGTTGTCTGAAAATGGTTGAGACTGAAATAGGTAAAGACTAGACACCATCAGCTCCATAGCAAGGATGTGCAAATACCTCAGGGGTATTTCTCATCCTTCTACCAACTCAGATTGGGAAGAATGAAGGTCATGCTGAGTCTGAAAGAGAAGACTTTTCTTTCAAAASTAGGATTCCCCCCAAACCAGCCATTTCCTTAATCATTTTGAATGAGGTGGTGCAGTTAATTATCTTTATTTGACTAGAAGTTGCCTTTAGAATTCTATGTCTCATCATCCATTTCTGCTATTATATAACTAATAAAAGCTGTCTTTTGCAAGTATATAAGAAATAATTATGGTTCATATTTGACTCTGATCAACCACAAGAGCACCCCCCCCACCTCCCCACAGTGGCTTCCTCTTTGAATGTAAAAATGCTATTTGGAAAAGAAAGAAAAAACAGGAGAACACATGTATACAGAACAAATACAGTTTGTTGGTGGGTGKGTTAATGCTTGCCTTTTCATACAGACACACAGAAAGATCCCTTTTACCCAATTGCTAGAAACCCCTGAAGGGAGTAAATAGAAGTTTTGATAAATGGAACCATATTTTAAAAGTCTGCAAAAAAGGTAGCCATTTAGGCAGTAATTACCCCTAATTTACTTGTTTGATCTGCTTGGATTTTCATAATTTAGATATTTACTGAACAAGACTCAGCTGTACGGTGAGTGGGCATGGGGTAGGATAGAGGTGGTAGTTAATACGTGCAAGTGTGCGCACAAACACACACACACACACACACACACACACACACACTCGTGTGCATACCACTCACAGGCCATAGTTTTTCCAGGAGGTACTTGAGATCTGGAAAAAGAAAACTTTGTGGGCTGGGGATGTGGCTCAAGCGGTAGGCGCACTTGCCTGGCATGCGTGCGGCCCGGGTTCGATCCTCAGCACCACATACCAACAAAGATGTTGTGTCTGCTTAAAACTAAAAAAAAAAAAAGAAAAAGAAAACTTTGTACCAATTTTCTCACGTATATTTATCCATTTTTCATGTGAACTAGGTCTTTGACTGCCATTTCCTTCCCAATGAAGTCAGGTATGTTCACAACGGTTGCCCGATTCTTGATGAAGACACAGTGAAGCTTCGACTTTACAGGTGAGTGGACTAGGAGCTCTGATTATGTGTTGCCAGACAACCATTCTGTTTACTTAGGGTTTATTTCTGTCCCTATATATTATTATGAGGGGAGTTAATAGATTCTAAACAAGAAAGTAATCAATAGACATTGGAGGCCTGAGTGGTAAGGCAAGAATTGTGGCCAATTTTCAATYATCTTCATTTGAATTATTGTCTTGGGGCTTTTCTACAAATTACTAACTCCATCCTGTTTCTATTTAGTGTTCTTATGCAAGTATCTCTGCTATTCCAACCTATCATCTATAATAAGAAAAAAAAGTTACAAATAGCAAATTCTTCATGAGAATCAATTAGGAAATATGCTCCAAAATTGAATGAAAATTTTTTTTTGATGACTAGCTGTTCAGTTACAGGAAGTACAATATCTTCCACTTTTAAACATTAAATAATTCAAATGTGCTTAAAATCAGTTACAAAGCTAAACATAGAGTGATCATATGACCCAGTAATTTCCCTTCTAGGTATATAYACAAGAGAAATGAAAGCCTATGTTTGTACAAACACTTGTACAGGAATGTCATGACAGCATTATTCATAGCAGCCAAAAAGTTGTACGAATTCAACTGACAAATCTATATAATATAATATTATTCAGACATGAAAAGGAATGAAGCGTGGATTCATGGGACAACTTGGCTGATCTTTGAAAACATTATGCTAAGTGAAAAAAGTCAGACACAAAAGGACAAATATTGTATGGTTTCATTTATATGAAATGTSCAAAGTAGGCAAATCCATAGGAACAGTAGATTAGTGGTTGCCAGAGGCTGGGTTAGGGGCCATTGGGGAGTGACTACATGGGTATGGATGTCTTTTTGGGGTGACGAAAGTATTATGGAATTAGATAGTTGAGATATTTATATAACTTTGTGAATATATTAAAAACCATTGAGTTGTACCTTTTAAAAGAATAAATTTCATGATATGTGAATTATATAAAAAATTAATTTTAAGGTTATAGTTATGGTATTTCAGACTTCATAGAAGCAAGTGAGGACAGGGTAGGTGGAGTAGACCTTTATATAATTGTTTACTTGTCTTTTTTTGTTCTTAAGAGTATTTGATTAAAACAGGTTGGTATAAATTTATTGTAAGTACTATAACAATGCATTAGAGTTTTGAAGAAGACTTTGGAACCGTGAATCATTCTACAACATTTAAAACCACCCACTACAGATCAGGGTCCACACAGACCATAGGAAACTCAAGGATGAAGATGCACAAACTCTTGGTGCTCATGGTTAAATGCGAAAGATGGGCAGATAATTAGAATGCAGAGGCCACAAATGCCCCGAAAAAGGCAAAATACTGTGCTCAGAAAATCAAGTGGCACCCACTTTCCTTAGAAAGCTAAAAATCATCATGCAAGGCTTTCCAAGACTTTAGTGTTAAAAGACAGACTTCAAAGATCTTGCTGGGAAGGGCTGAAAGGCTGATGAATTCTAGCTTCTCCTACTCCTTCCTTGAGTTTCCCTGGGGGAAGAAGATTGGTCAAGTACACGCAGGAAGGCTGCCACTGCTTGTCGTTTGATGACATTTGAAATAGAATATCCAGCATAGTTGRGGGCAGAGACCAGGGAGCATGTTTGTTTCCCTCCTCCCTCTTCTCCAGCTTCTATGGCAATTGATTTGATTTCTCTGTGCCTCAGTTTCATCATTGCAAAGTAAGACTGAAAATGCCTTCAATAAGTTCTTCTAAGTACTGAAAAAGATACCGCAGTAAGGAGTTCAGCATAGAGTTTAGTGTGTTATGGGTCTCAATAAAAGCATGTCAACGAAGAGCTGAATTATTAATGCAAATACATCACTCATTAATTTCAAACTCTCAAAAAACAAAACAAACAACAACAACAAAACCACATGACAACACATCTCTATTAGCCTCTGCAAATACCCTGAGAACAGAGTCCGCAGAGGATAGAAGTAGTGGAAGTAACCATTGCTGATACGATTTTCATGGCAAGCAGACCTGAATGTCCACCCGTTTTGTGGTATTTCTGAAGAGCAAAAGGGCCTTGATACTACAGAAACTCCTTGCCCCTTCACTCCTGAATTAAAACTCAATCCATAAAGAATATAGGCCCTATACCCCTAAATTTGTTATGTTGGAGGTGAGACTCCAAGGTCTCCGCAGTTCTTACCTGTCAGTATGGATGATGAGCTTGAGAGCAGGCATTGAAAGAAAAGGATTGGAGGAAGAAGCAGCAGGAAAAGCATCAACACCAAAGTAAAGAGAAGGGATGAGACCTGAGAGGTTGAGAGTACAGCAGGAAGTTAAATCAAAACTCCACCTGATGCAAAAGTGTGTGAAGGCCGGTTTTTAAGCTTCGAGCTAAGTGCTYAGGTATCAGAAGTGTCTGAGCACCAATACTTATTTCCTTTGCTTTGTCCTCTCTACAGATTCACTGAGACAGACACCTTCACTGAAACTTTTACCCTGCGGGTCTATCTCATGGAGCCAGACTGCAATATTATCCGCATGAGTAGCAATGTCCTGGAGGTGTCTGAATTCTATGGCCTGTCCCGAGCCATTGATAAGAACCTGCTCAGATTCGACTATGAGAGGACGGTGGGCCTGGAGTGTACCGTCAGACTGGACCCTTTGAGGACTAGGCTGCCAGCTCATGGCCAGATGGTTGTGGTGGAGCCTCGCCCAGAAGGACCCCGTGGAGATCAGCCACACAGTTTTTTCCCTGAGTCCCGTATGATACCTTTCAGTATTTATCTGGATATTACTAAAACTGACAAAAATATCCATGAATGGTCACCTTCCGCTAGACAAATAGTTCAACTTAATATAATTTTAGCATCTTGGGAAGAAAATGTAGGTTAGTGGTTAAGTGCATGGATTTTGGAATCAGAAAGATCTGGATGTGAAAACTCCTTCTGCTATTCATTTTCTGTGTTATTTTGGTTATGAATCTTCTGCCTAAGCCTCTGGGAGATGGGAAAASATAATAGCTGCTCCATAGAGTTAAATAAGGATGGGAGTAAAGGAGATCACACACAGGATGGGCTTAACACAGTGTTCGGCTCATAGGAAGTCTTCATTAATTATCAATTGTTATAGTGAAAGCAATGGCAGCAGCAGTAAGAGTGGTTTATTTATACTTCATTAGATATTATTGCATTGTGATCTAGCTTGAAGTAGAGCTGGTAGGTAGCATGGTTTAAATCAGGAAGCATTAATGGATAAGGTTCCTTCCATTAGTCATTCAATCAATATGTTGGATACTTCCTATATGCATAATAATGTCTTAGGAACTATGAGAAGAACAAGAAATATAAGGAATAATCATACTTGTAGTAATATCTTGCATTTGGACAGAAGTTTACCACCAAAGATACACTTGAACAAAAATCATCTCATTTCCTCTTCACAACCACCTGTCTATAAAATGGATTATCTGTTTTATGTGACATGGAAATGAAACTCAAAAAATAACTAGCCTATGAGTGTCATACACCTAACAAGTGAAAAATGCAGTTGGGTAGAGACACGAAGACTACTGGAGAGAGAATTATGGTTCTTGGTAAGACGGCACAGGTTGGTCCAGGTGGTTCACTGAGTGTTTAAGGGAAGGTTTAGAAAAAAAAAAAAAAGATTAATTAGACTGAGAAGGACATGCAGGACTTGAGTGTGTGATGAGCACTGTGGGGAGAGCATTTTGGTGAGTAGAACAGTCTAGTAGAGATTGCATGATGGAGCCATGAAGCTGATGCTCTCAAGGGAAGACGAGAGCTAAATAGTAGGCGCTATAGTGAGCCACTGGCCTGTTAGTTAGAGACATTCAATCACCAGAAAACATGTTTGTTTTATTTTTTTCCTCTCAGTCTAACTTTGGATGGGCAAGAGAACTGGTCTCTTGTTCTTTTCACTGAAGGAAATTATAAGCTTTCAGAATAATGCTAACCCTAGGAAGGGATTGGAAGGTACATCTGAGTATTCCTGGGGTCTGTAAGAATGAATAAATGTCTAAAGGTGGGTTTTTGTCTTTACACCTGTGGTATTCAAGTGGCAAGCCTAATGCAGCATTGTTCATTTTAGAACTGGGAATGGAACTGAAGTGTCCAGGCGGAAGCTGTACCCTGGAATTGAAGAAAATAGCAAGTCTCCAAGTGAGCTGTGAGGAGTTCCTGATGATGGGGCTTCGTTATCAACACATGCAACCCCCTTCTCCCAACATTGATTATATCTCCATCCAACTGGACCTCACAGATAGCAGGAGTCAAATCGTATACAAGGTACAGTGGGGTTATGGGTTGATGACCTGGCTGATTCACAGGAAGACAGTCAACTGCACAGAAGGGCTCATGCCACTTCCCAGGCCAGGTAGAGTTCCTGGGCCCTGGAGGGTAACACTGCCTGGCATCTCAACGCAACTGCAGCCTGTTTGTTCTGCCAACAAATGCTTAAAGTGATATCTTTTATGTGTGATATTAGGTAATTTCTCTCTCTGGTTCTCGATGACTAAAGCAGCTTGGAAAGGATTGGGGTTGGTTACATGTTAACAACCATTTTTGCTCTTTACCAGCAGTACTTCCCCCGCCCCATGCTCTAGTGCTGGGAATTGAACCCGGTGCCTTGCACATGCTAAGCATGCACTCTACCACTGAACTGCATCCCCCAGCAACACTTTTACATCCCCCAGCAGCCCTTCCAACACKTTTCAACCTCTTGGTTGGCCCTCTGTGGCACCTTCTCTTTGATATTTCCTTTTTCCTTGACATCAGGGACTCCACTGTGCAAACCCACAGGCAACCAGGAGGGAGGGGAACCTCAGTCCCACTTCCATGGTTGTGACCAAGGATCTCATTGTCACTCTTCAGACTTTAGGACAGAGGTCTGGGTCGTCCCAGCCTGTCTCCCATTAATTTCTCTTGCCCCCACCTCTTCTTGATTTCTTCACACTGAAATGACGACTGGAAGTGGAATCAACTTTTATGAAGTGTCTAACACGCTTGTTACTCTACAGTCTGCTTATTCGGGAAACTGGGGACAAGAGTACACCTGCTTAAAAAGCTCGGTTTGTGCTGGTGTAAGATGAGCCAGGATGACATCTGGAAAGACTTCCATTTTTACAATCTGCCTTCCCCCTAGGATCTGTCCTAAGAGGCTCAGTGAAATAGTGAACATTATTACCCCATGGAATTGATAATTCAAGAAGTAATAAAGACATGACAAAACAAGATCATGGAATTTTAGATTTAAGATCTGGAAAAATCACTTCCAGGTAGTCGGGTCTAATTTATTAGGAGCTTTTAAAGGATGGATTTCTGAGTCTAATATCTGAACACTTGCCTAGGTTCAAATGTCTGCTTATCCATCCATGTGACTTTGGACTTCATGGTTCATTTTCTTCAGCTTAAAATAAGGATAGTAGTACCTCTTTCTTAGAGAAACTAGAGGATTAAAAGAGATAATAAAACCATACTTATAAATAAAACCATATTTGTGCTTGGCACAAAGCCAGACCCATATTAAGCATATTTATGTTTTGCTAGTTTAAAAAGCCACTGAGTAAAAAGTTTAGGATAAGCCAGGTTTGGAAGTAATTGGTTGAGTCTAAGCCCCCTTTTTTGACAGTGGTGACGCAGAGAAATTATGTACCTGGCCCACACATGCATGCCTGTTTTATGCATGTAGTGATCAAAACTCTAGGTCTAGATGTTTTCTGTTTGTTTTGACACAAACTCTTTTCCTTTTCAATGATTTCTCATCTCAGTCTAAAAACTTAGAGACACTTTTCTTTCCAGCTGATTTTTCTTATTTTTCTCAGTCTATTGAGTTAGGGTTTTACTATATTTTTAGATCTGTTTCATTGGGAGGTTATCCCTTTGAGTGACCTCCATACTTTATTTAGCATTAACCTATAGTCAATTTGGTTTTTCACAGCAGATCCATTTCTGAAGATGAATATGCTCATGGCAGAGAATATTAAAAAACAGAACAAAGTAAGAAGAAAATAAAATGAGCTGTTTTGCTACCATTTTTACATACAGAGACATACCCAGAGGGGAGGTACACATACCAGAACTGGTTTTATGAAATTGAATTTATATTACACATGAAGTTTTGTACATAGTTCTTTTGTTATTTTTATGACTGTAGAGTTCATCCTCATAAAGTAACTATATGACCATTTAGCCATAACTTCTTGTACATTTTTAAAGGTCTTTCTCTTTACATTTGCCTTTTGACTCATCTGAAATAAATTTTATTATATGGTGGAACATAAGGAATTCTTTTTCTTCCAGTAGCCAAATTCCCTTCACTATTTGTTGGACAACCCCCTTGCTTCCCAATGATATTAATGATTCTTCTATTGGGTGGTGAGATATAGAGAATGCTGTTTCAAGGCTGGCTCTTTCGTTCTTTAGGTTGATCTACTTATTGTCATGCTGGTACCACATCATCCTATGTATAATCAGTCTGTCACGCTCTTTCCTCTGGAAAGCCGTTTCCCCCTATTTTTAGTCCCAAATAAATAATTAAATAATTTATGTTAGTTTTTTTTTTAAGCCCTAAGGAGTTTATCAGTATTGGATTAAAACTATAAATTCTTTGAGGCAGAGTTAGAATCTTATGGCATTTAGGATATTAAATCTTCTTGTCCAGAAATAAGGTATCTCACTTTATCTGGGCAAATGTTATACATTTCTATAATGTGTATAATTTMCTTCATGTAAGTTGAGCACAAAAATTAAACCCAGTCCTGGGCAGTTTATTTTTGTGAAACTGTTGTGAATAGAATTCCACCCCCATGATATCTTCTCATTGGTTATTGATGAAAAACAGGAAAGCTATTTTTTGGTATCATTTTCATTTATCTGGCTTCTTTCCTGAATTTAATTATTTAAAGTGTTTTTTTAAAAAATTCTTTGCACTTTCAAAGACCATAATTACATCTTATCACAAATGGTGATAATTTTGGTCTTTTCCTGTAATTTTTCCTCTTCAACTCTATTCCCCACAGGTTTGACCAGAATACATTAAATAAAATATTGCTTACAAGCATCTTTGCCTTGTATATTTTATCCATCTTAATGACCTACCTTGACTTTTTCAGTGCTTCTTGCCTTAAGTTCATCTTTGTTTGAAATTAATGTGGTTATTCTGCTTTTCTCCCTTAACATGGTATGTGTGGGTCATCCTTTCACTTTTGATCTTTCAGTATAACTTTCAGTTCCTTTCTATAAGGTACATTTAACTAAGTATTTTCACAGAATTTCATAAGAATTTTCTCAAATAAGGAAATACAAACTATTTATATTTGTGGTAATAATGGATACATGTGTTTCTTACTTTTCTTGTTTTTATGCCTTCATGCTAATTGAAAACATTTTTGCTTATCACCATGTACAAGGCCCTGAGTTCCATCTTCAGAACCACAGACACAAAAAATTTGTCTTGCAAAATAGGTTAAGGGATGGGGATATAGCTCAGTTGGTAGAGTGCTTGCCTCACATGCACAAAGCCCTAGGTACAATCCCCAGTACCACCCACAAACACGCGCACACACACACACACACACACACACAATTTATACTTTCTTTGCCTTTATCTTACCTGTTTATAGAAGTCCTTTATCTCATTTTATATTTTATGGGGTCTCTTGGATCCTTCCTAGGTATGCTGAGGGTGAATGCAGTTGATCCTTTCTCCTGGCAATTGCCCAACTCCCCTGCTTTGTTTATATAATTTTCAATTTCTGTTCTAATTTATGATCGTGATACCTTATTATTTCTCATATCATCTATCTCTTAAGTAAGCATTTTTTGACATTGGTATCCATTTTAATTAACATTTAAAATAACATTTATTTAGACTTAAGACTTAATTGATCTCAGTGTATTACACTGGTCCTTTTAAATCATGATTTACCATTTTTTGACTTTTTATACTATGCATCTTCAAATAATATTTTTCCCATGGCACATGAAGAATCTGTATATCTTTGGATGTCATTCGTTTGCCCGTGTAGCCGTGCAGTGGGAAGAGGAGGGGTTGTCTTCTCTGATTCTCTCTTGCAGTTCTCTCTTCTTCCAAGCTTTGCTGGCTACTTTCTGAACTTTTGGGCTGGTGCTTTTGGGGGCTGTTGGAGAGAGAGGGGCCTTGTTTTCTCAGGTGCTGATGGAGTCTGGTTTCATGTTCTGTGCRTCTGACAGATGTTTCAAGCTGCTTCAATGTCTCAGGAGCAAGTTCATGGTTTCTTTGGACAGCCCTGTCACAGGGGTCTCTCCTTCTAGCTCTCTTAGAGGATGCATTTCTAACCTGAATGGTCATTTGCAAATTTTCTCGTAGTCCCTAGGATGTGATTCCTATTTCTAGCTTTATGCTGCTAGACTTTTGGCCTCTGAAGGATGCTCCCTAAAGGTCAGGGTCCAGGATAACCCCCAATCAACCCTCTGTCCCACRTGGCTCACATCTGGAAGCCCTCATATGTCCCTTATTGCCACAAAAATGACAGGCTGCTCCCAGCACCRCCACCATTGTTCTTCTGCTCTGGCCTCTGCCCTTGCTCAGGTATGAGCCTAGAATTTCCTTCTGTGTCCCCACCTATAGAGCACACTTACAGRCTATCTCAAGGAAACTTCTCTTCTGACACCTTAGACAAGGGATGTGCCATTGACCCATCTTTCCTGCCTTGAGGGGTGTGTGGTGTGTGTGTGGGGAAAGTGAGTCCACATAGCAGAGGGTTCCTCTGTCTCTGTTTCATATGTACCTCTCTCAACATTTTGGTATTCTTATAACAGAGGAGAGAGTCTTAGAGTCTAGAACCATTCGTAGACAATTTGCTAGGTAAATTTTGAATATGGGATCTGTCTCACACTCACTTAGAAATCTGATGTCYCTTCTATTGGAATGTCATTTGAGATTGAGCCAAGAATTCCATTTTTAACTTTGTGTTGCATATAGATGACCACTCCTAGTCCAGGCCAGTGTCCAGCAGCATGACACTGGCTAATTGAGCCTGGTTCTGTCAACAGTGGGATCCATCACATTCTGTGRCAGGCAGCATCTACTGCTGTGAGGATTCTTCCCACCCAAGGTGTTCATTGAGACCGCAGATTCTATTATGCAATTGCATGGTTTCTTTTGAAAGCTCTCTTATGTGTAGCTCCCAATGCTTTTTTTTTTTGTTGTTGTTGTTGTTGTTTTGTTATTTATTTATTTATTTTTTGGTACCAGGGATTGAATTTAGGGCACTCAACAACTGAACCACACCCCCAGTCCTATGTGTATTTTATTTAGAGACAGGATCTCACTGAGCTGCTTAGTGCCTCACCATTGCTGAGGATGGCTTTGAGCTCGAGACCCTCCTGACTCAGCCTCCCGAGCTGCTGAGATTATAGACAGGCGCCACTGCAACCAGCCGTAGCTCCCAATTTTTGAGATGCTTTTCTAGCTCGAGTGTTTACTTGCTACTAAACAGAGTGAGCCTCCTTCAATTGCACAAATACAGAGTCATAAAGACATTCTTCCTTCATTTTCCTCCCTGACTTCCTTAAAACCACGTGTCAGGAGGTGGACAGGGTGGCCGGAGGGAGCTGGTGTGCGTGCCAGACACTGCCACGTGCTCTGTTGTGACTATTTCATTTAATCCTTACTAGATACTTGGGAGTCTAGAATTCCCATTTATATATGGGAGCAAAATAAGATTTGGAAGTTAGAGAACTTGTCTAAAGTCACACAAATTAYAAGTGCAGGAGATGGAATCATGAGCACAGTTATTTCTGATGCCAAAATAGGTGTTCCCTTCTTAACCCTTGATGCATATTGGAGTCACTGGGGAGCTCTAAAAATACCAAATACCCACTTTTCTGGTCCCCTCCTTGGAACAATTAAGTGAGAACCTTAGGAGATGGATTCTGGCTGTCATGTGTTAAAACTCTCCAGGTGATTCTAATGTGCAGCCAGGATTGCGATCACAGCTGGATGTGTCCTTTGGGCTGTAGCTTTATTACATATCATGCCGTTAATCCTGTGCATTATAGCTCTATTCATATGATTTCCCTCTTCCTATTTTCCTTCTCCTTCAAAAGTCAGAGAGTGYGTGGTTGCCTGTCTACATCAGAGCTGGCATTCCGAACCAGATTCCAAGGGCTGCGTTCATGGCCATGTTTATTCTGGAAGTGGATCAGTTCATCCTGACCTCTTTGACTACGTCAGTTCTGGACTGTGAAGAGGATGAGACCCCCAAACCCTTGCTGGTGTTCAACATTACGAAAGCCCCACTCCAGGGCTACATGACTCACCTGTTGGATCACACCAGACCGGTCTCCTCATTCACCTGGMAGGATCTCAGCGACATGCAGATTGCCTATCAGCCTCCTAACAGCAGCCATTCTGAGAGGAGAAATTAYGAGGTAAGAAGGAAGAGAGGCAGAGTCTCCAGCCTCATTTTTATTCAATGATTCCAGAGGCCATTTCTGACTGGATGATGTAGCACATACCCGTAATCCTAGAGGCTTGGGAGGCTGAGGCAGGAGGATCTCAAGTTCAAAGCAGCCTCAGAAACTTAGTAAGGCTCTAAGCAACTTAGCRAGACTTGGTTCAAAAATAAAAACTAAAAAAGGCTGGGGATGTGGCTCAGTGGTTAAGTGGCCCTGGGTTCACTCCCTGTAACCCGTGCCCCCTCCAAAAAAAGAAGAGAGGCTACTTCTGTCAATCCTCCGTTATGTTGATACATTCTTTGCTTCYGAAAGAGAATCACCAGTGTAACTCAGGATGCAGACTAAATGCCAGGGGAAGCCATGCAGAGACAACCCAGAGAGACATGGTGGTGGTCAGCTGAAGAGAGAACTGGTCCCTCGGCAAGCAGCTGCAACTCAGTTCTCACTGGTTGCTGCCATTAGAGCCACATGGGTCTCTTTTCACCATAGTTCTCATCTGTCCAGAGGAGCTGGAAATCTATAGTTTCTTATAAAAATATCTTCACCTTCTAAATATAGAAAACATAAAAATTGTAAAAAATATTTTGCCAACAACAAAGTCTTTCTGAGGGCCACATCTCACCCAGGGCTTGCCAGTTTGAGAACTCTGGTGTCCCCTTACAGCCTTCTTGCATTATATAGACCGCTGAAGTTAGAGATGAATTTGTTCATGACTTTTTTTTTATTAATAACTTCTCTTTTTATCTTTTTTATTAATACCTTCTCTTTYTATCTTGTTTATAATTAACAATATTGACTCAAGGAAGGAGAAGCCATAGTCTGATCTGATAACTCATTTTTGCTATCAAATACTCTCCATGGGGAAGTCCTCCTTCTATCTGATCTAAATCCCCTTTGCTGCAGGTTCAGCCTCTTTCCTCTTGTTTTGGATTCAGTGGAAGTTGAGAGCAGCTGGTTACTGTCTTGCCTATGATAACACTTCMCATCCTTAAAGACCTACCAGCAAGACATTCAGACAGGATGGAAAATTTAAATGAGCAGATTGAGAAAGACTTGAGTTCAGGTTTATTAAGGAAAATGAGTGTTCCTGGGGTTACCAGACTGTCTTCCATGTAATTTAGGCATTTGCAGCATTTAGCTTCAAGGGCAATCCAAAGGCTTCAGGCTGTAAGAGCTATGCATTGCCCTTTGCTTTTATTTTCTTCCCTTTTTAATAGTGTGTGGCAGCTGTATTTTCCTTCCCTGGCCTCTCATTCCTTCCCTGGTATGAAGTAATTTTTCATTATACATCCAGTTTTACCCTGAGCTYACAAACAAAGCACTGCCATTCCGGCTGTGTTCTATGTGTATTTTCTGGCATTATATAATGTAATCTTAGAGCAAAACCTGTCCAAATGTGGTCTTTTTCTTTTTCTTTTTTTTTTTATTAGTCGGTAACTCCCAATTTTCTCAGTGGAGATTATGCATTTTTCAAGTTTGTGGGCAGAAAGCCCTGGACCTAGGGCCCAATCTAATGTGTATTTACACCTTTCAAAAAGTCATCTCGTGTCCCTGTTGAGTTTCATTTTTAGATTGTTACTTTGGCACCTTGAATTGGTTTCTTTTGTTATTCAGTATTTGGGGATATGTTGCTACTAATTATTTTTTTTATCTTCTCAAATGGACCCCACATTCTTCAGAAATAAGTAGTGTCTCTTGTAATCCTCTGTTATAGTTCATCCTTCTTTTCAAGAATGTGGTGCTATGTAAACATAGCGTGTAGCTCAAATCTTATCACATGRCTTCTACTTATTAGTTATGAACTTCATAACTCATAAGCACAACTAAGCAAAAAAAAATCTTGTTACTTAAATGTTTTTCTTCATGGTGGGTGCACTTTTTTTTTTTTCTGGGTACCAGGGATTGAACTCAGAGACACTCAACCACTGAGCCTCATCCCCAGCCCTATTTTGTATTTTATTTAGAGACAGGGTCTCACTGAGTTGCTTAGCACCTTGCCATTGCTGAGGCTGGCTTTAAACTTGCGATCCTCCTGCCTCAGCCTCCCAAGCCCCTGAGATTATAGGTGTGAGCACCGGCTATTCTTTTTTTAATTGTCAATGGATCTTTTTATTTTATTTATTTATCTATTTATATGTGGTGCTGAGGATAGAAGTCAGGGTCCCACACATGCAAGGCAAGTGCTCTACCACTTAGCCACTACCCCAGCCCTATACTTAAATTTTTAAAAAATATTTAAAAATATGTTTAACAGGATAGCACCTGTAGGTTAGGGTTTCTTAAAATCAGCACCATTGACATTTTGAATCAGATAATACTTTGCAGTGAGTGCAGGATATTGGCATCCCTGGCCCTGACCCATTAGATGCCAGTAGCACCACACTCCATGCAACTATTTGTGAAACCAAAAGTATCTCTAGATGTTCCCAAATATCTCCTGGGGTGGGGTGACACAAAACCGCCCTCAGTTGAGACTCAGTGCTATAAAGTCTCTCCCTTAGAGAAACATTGGAGTGGTCTCATGTTGGACTAAGGGCAGTTTCTTTAGCAAATGAAGGGATACTTCTCCAACATACTTGCTAATTTCAGATTAGTAAATTCTATGAAGAACAAAATTTAAAAATACTGATAAAGTAAGGAACAAAATCTGGGGTCTGAAAAAGTAAAATCAGGTTGTTAAAAAAAAAGAAAAGAGAAAAGAAATAGAGAGAGAGAAATTGAGAAGGGGGATCATTATTAGGTTCAGAGATCCAGTTGGTTGAGGGGGATAACTCTGAAGGACAATAAGATTGTCAACTGTGGTTGACAACATTTAGTTAGATATTTCAATATCTAACTAAAAAATCCTCTAGTAGAGAGGATTTTGCATGTTCCCAACACATAGAAATTATATATTGAAGAGATGTTTATAACAGTAARCCTGATCTGATCATTACACATTGTATACATGCATTGCAGTGTCATAATAAACCTTATATATATGTATAATTGTGYCAATTAAAAATCAAAATATTTAAAACAACAATTAAAAATAGTACCTAGGAACTGTGGGTGTAGCTCCGTGGAAGAGCATCTACCTAGCATGTGTGAGGCCCTGAGTTTGATCCCCAGCACTGAAGAAAAAAAAAATGGAAAAAAAGTCTTTCATGTGAATATTCTTACAAAATGACTAATAATTTGAAACAATTTAAATGTTCATCATGGAMAAATAAAATGTGGTATATCCTTACAATGGAACTATTTGCAATTAAAAGGAAAGAACTGTTGACAACATGCTATGACACAAATAAATCTTAAAACATTAAGAGAAAGAAGCTAGGTATGAAGGACCACATGTTGTATGTCTTCATTCAAATGAAATTTCTAGAAAAGGCAAATCTATGGAGACTGAAAGCAGATTGCTGGCGCCTGGGTGGGTTAGACAGTGAGGAGAATTGACAGGGATGAGCATAAGGACTTTCTGAGGTGATGGAAATCCTTCTTAACTTTATGTGAAGGCTGTACAACTTGGTAAAAGAGAAACATTCAGGAGCCAGAAGTGGAGTCCATTTTTCCTTCCACCCGTGGGTATGACCCCAGCATTAGTGGTATTTGATACTTGAACTTCTCAGTGTGTGTTTCCTGTACATCTGTTTGCTTGCAGGTGGAGTTGGAGGTATATGACTTCTTCTTTGGAAGGAGTGCACCTGTCACAGTCCATATCTCCATCAGAACAGCAGACACCAACGCCCCCCGGGTGTCCTGGAATACAGGTGAAGCCCAGAATGAGGCAACAGCCAGCAAAGCCCCKAAGACAGCACCAGAAAGTCATGGGTCAGGAAAGAAGGGTAGTTTTACTCCCAGTTCACGCATGAGATACAGGCTAAGGATGTCAGATAGTTGTTTTGTTTTATCCTAGTGGCCAGATGAGAAATTAAAATCCAGTATCCTCATGTCTGAGGCCATATTCTTGCCTCTTGGGGGAGATGGGCCAAAAGGACACCTTTCAACTGAAAGAAGAAAAAAAAAAGACTATTTGTGATATTGAACCACAGCTGGACTGAGAGCAAAGGCCCTAACTCAGATTGTTTAGAGGAATGGAAGGAAGGTACAGACTGGGATGCAGTTTCCTATTTTTATGTTGGGTTGCATAGAAACTCAAATACATAAATAAGAGCATCAGCTGCTTTAAAAAAAAGACTTTGCTTCTCCATACTAAATGGACTCATAATGTGATGTATATACTTAGATCAGATGTAAATGTGAGTGTAAATGAAGGTTTTCCCTTTATCACTAATACCATTAATAGCATTCAAAACATGTGTATAAGGATGCATTAGGGGGAAGATGTCTATGACTTAAATACTCAGGTGGCAGCTTAACCACATTGCCGTGTGTGTGTGTGTGTGTGTGTGTGTGTGTGTGTGTACACCTTTATATGTTTCGAAATTTTCTGTTATTATTTCCCTGAAGAGTTTATCCATTCTATTAGTTTGTATCTCATAGCCCTTCTCAGTTCCAATGATTCTTAAATTTGGTCTCTTCGTGTTCTGCCACAGTTCTTGAATATTCTGATTGTGGTTACTTATTTTATTTTCTTTCTTGCTGTCTGAATGTTCAAGGTTGGCCACTTTGTCATCCAGTTCTGAGATTCTGTCTTCACCATGGTCAACTCTACTAGAAAGACTTTCAGCTGAACATTTTATGGATTTATTGTGTCTTTCATTTCCAAGACTTCGGTTTGRTTCTTTTTCAATATTTCTATCTCCTTATTGAGTGTCTCATTCATAGTCTGTACTGACTTCCTTAATTCATTTAGTTGTTTTTCTGTGTTCTCTTGGAATTCATTAATCATTTTTATCGTGGTTAATTTTAATTAATTTATAGTGGTTATTTTATTTTGAGTTCCTTATCCAATTTTTCCTCTACTTCAGTATTTTGGGGCTCATTTGCTGATAAATTATGAACTTTTGTGTTAGCTTATTTTTTCATATTTCTTGTATTCCTGTGTTGGGCTTTATGCATCTGTTGGAGGGATTTTTCTTCCACTCTTATGTGTGGGCCTTCTTAGGAAACAGTCTTCACTTGCCAAAGAGTCCTAGAGTGATCTAGATGGAGACCCCTCATAGGTGTGGTCAAGATGGCTCCCACCCCAACTCTCTGTGGCCAGATGGGAAACATGGGAGACTTTTCAACCACCAGTGCACAGTACATCCTCTAAATAAGCCAAGGACAGGGTGCTTTCATGATCTCAAGCGTTTCTATACTAAATCTGTCCATTATATTCCTTTCTGTGTCCTTTGTCCCTCTGTGCTGAACCAGTACCACTGCTGCTGCTGCAACTGGTGTGGTTCCAATGTACTCTTTCTTCTTTGTTCAATGTACCCAAATTTCTGAGTCTCTAAGACACTCTGACTGTCCAATATTGAGTTTTAGTGAAATCCCTCTTTCACCCAACTGACAAAGAGGTGGTACTCCTGTTGCTTGAATCCCACAGAGTGACTAGGGATGCAGTCTTCCTCTAGTCCACCATCTTGAATCCTCCACATGTATTTATATGTGTGAATTTTAATAGAAATGGAGAACATTGGCTGAGAGGCCATGATTTATAAATCTGGCTCCATGTCCCACTATACCTCTGTTGAAGGATAATGAGAGAAAGGCAGGAATTGTTTACCTGAAGTTTAGGAATAATCACATATTACCTAGATCATTGCTTGAGTGTGGAGATGGGATAGTCTATGTGTATGTGGTTGTTGAGGGAGCTCCAGGTCTGGTTTTGCCTACTTTGGGCATTTAGAATTCTTGTTAAAATGACTTTTTACTTATTATAAACTTAGTGCTTGCCATCTTTGAAAATTTGGAGAACACATTAAATAGAATTAAAATTATTTATTATCCCACTGTGAAGGTATACCTATAGTACTATTTTGCTATATAGTTTTCTAGTCTTCTTGGTTGCTTGTCTGCTGTGTCCTATGATGTCTGTCATGTGCTGCACTGTGTACTTGTGGCTTCAAAATCCTTACTAAATTAAATTGCTAGTGCCACCAAAGGAAAAAGAAAGAAAAAAGAAAACACTGTACACCAGTCATGGAAATTCTTTTAAACATGTGATGTCCATCTTCCCTTCTTCCTTTTCTCCCCTCTCCCTTTTGCCTTCCTCTCCCCACTTGTTTCCTTTCTCTCTTCTCTTTCCCCCTTCCCTTTCTGTTTCTTCTTTCTTTTTCCTTTCTTCCTCTCCTCCTTTTTTCCTACCTTCCTTCCTTTCTTCCTCTCTTTCCCTTCCTTCTCTTTTTCTTTCATTTATATATTGTATGTTTTAGTTTATTTTCTGTAGAAAAGAGACCCTGAGGCAGATCATATGTACTAACCTTACACTGAAATTCAGACTAAGGGGAAAGCAAATAATATGTGGTGTATTAGTCAGCTTTCAGTCAYTATAACAAATACCTGAGATAATCAACTTATAAAAATAAAAGGTTTATTTTGACTCTGCTTTGGAGGTTCCAGTCCACAATTGAGTGGCCCCATTGCTTTGGACCTGAGGTGAGGTAGCGTATCATGGTGGGAACATATGGTGGAGCAAAACTGTTTACATCATAGTCAGGGAGCAAAAAAAGAAAGGAAGAAGAGACCAGGGTCCCACACTATTCTTCAAGGGCATGCTCCCAGTGACCTAAAAGCCTCTCATTAGGCCCCACCTCTTTAAGGTTTCATCACTTTCCAATAGCACCACCCTGAGGATGAAGCCTTTAACAGAGGGGCCTTTGGAGCACATTCAAGATCTGCAGTACAGCAGACAATATGATTGAGCTGGTCAYTAGATAAAGTAGATTGCTCTGTAGTGCTACTGTCTCCTGGGAGCAGATGGAACCACACATCTGGGAAGAGTTGAAGGGAGGAAGGATAAAGGTTGGACAAGCTTTCAGTACCCAACTGTATTGGGCTGTTYGATGATGCCACAGCTCCCTGTCTATAACCTGAATGTTGAGTTTAGAGTATATATTTTTCTTGCTCTGATCAGCAAACAATTCTCTCTCCACAGATTTCCTCTGGCATATTGGGTCCAAGAAGAAAGTTTTATTTTAATCCTTCAGTTACACAAGCCCCTTCCTTAATATAGTCTAAACTCTGCAAAGTTTCTGGCATTTCACATCTAACACTGTTGAGTACCCTTAGGCACAATAGCTCTATACATGCATCTGAACCACTTTACTGCAGGCTGTGCATGTTCTCATAAATTATGTCTCTTGCCTACTTAAAATATCTGAATACAACCTTTGAGAAATTCCCTATGGAAATTTTTGAACTTGAGACCACTGTGAACATATCTCTTCTTTCTTTCAGTAGTTTTTGGCATCATCATGCTTCTTAAGGATTTATCGTGGAGATGGGGATGTCACTCAGTGGTAGGGTGCTTGCATAGCATGTATGAGTTTGGGTTTGACCCCCAGCATTGAAAAAAGAAAAAAAATAGGTTATATCTTAAGGAACCAGTTCTTATATTGAAATATACTAAAATATATTAGTAGAAGCAAAATCTATGGAATATAGCTGGAATGGTTTCTTTAAAAGCATCTGAAATATGATTTTTCAGTTTCATAAGTAGATTTTCTTAGTTTTTCCTTAAGCAGGGATGTTGGATGCCACAGGACTTCCCAAGACATTTTTCTGCTTTACTCTTGYAGGTCTGAATCTCCTGGAGGGACAGTCTCGGGCTATCACTTGGGAACAGTTTCAGATTGTTGACAATGATGACATTGGTGCCGTCCAGTTGGTCACTGTTGATGGCCTGCATCACGGACAGCTTACAGTGAGAGGTGAGTGGTCTACCTGCAGACCTAGAAAAGAACCCAAGAAGGATTTTCTTCCTCCCCTTCCTCTTCCTCCTTTTCTTCCTCTTCCTCTTCAGTTTCACAGTATTGAGGATTGAACTCAAGGATATTCTACCACTGAGCTACGTCCCCAGTCTTTTTTATTTTAGTTGAGACAGAGTCTTGCTAAGTTGCCAAAGCTGGCCTTGAACTTGCCATTCTCCTGTGTTAGTCTTTTGAGTAACTGGCATACACCACTATACCTGGCTCAAGAAGTATTTTCTTCAAAAACAAATTGTATTGGAGAGGACTCATGTAGCATCTCTTGGGTTCCATTTCTAAGTGAAATTGTCATGTCCAAAAAATCTGGAGATCTTGAGCTCAGGTGTAAGATGCTAAAATCAAGGTATAAGCATTAATGAAAGGTAYTGAGTACTTGGCTTCTTATTTAAATCTCAGTTTTGACTTCTGTATGTCACATAGAACTTTGTCAAGATATCTTCTTCACTAATGTTTTTATCCAGTTGGATGACAAAATATTTTCCTGCTTCAAAGAAATACACTGCAAAACAAAAATCTTATTTATTTAAATACTTCAATAATAATGATGTTATTATGTTATTATCACTAGTTGCCACAGTTTAAAATAAATGGATTTATAATTATAAGGATGATAGTTAACAAGATAGTAGCCCTGATTAAGATGATATTCACACTTTATGACAAAAAAATCTGTTCTTTATAATGAGCTCAGAGGATTTGATTTCATTAGCCTCTTAGTTTGCCTAACTGTAAAGAAAGGAGGTAGGTCTCATTTATCATCATTTGTCATTAGGGAATTTTGAAATTTACAAAATGATAAATTATGATAAATTCTCCTGTCAAATCTCAGGATAGTGGGAGGCCAGTTTAATCGTGGGCATGTCAGTTAGAGGGGGTATTCAGTTGCATGTAAAAGTAACCCAATTATATTGGCTTAATAATTAGATTTATTTTCTTCATGTCTTCCAGATTGAAAGAGATAGAAGGGAAATGAAAGAAATCATGGCATTTCAGTTTGTTTCTTTAGCAAGTTTCTAGGAGCCCAATATGACAACTTTCACTTCTGCCTTCTCACCTAGTTATGCCACATATAACCCACTGTCACAATGGAACCTGGAACTTATTCAAATGGTTATATTGCCATGTCAAACAAAACTGGGATTCTAGGAGTGAGGAAGAAGCAGAAAGTGGTTACTAGGCAAGGAAATAGTAATGTCCATTGTTACATTAAGTATCTAATCATTTATTCTTCTGAGGTCTTTAATGCAGCCGTGTGGTGTGAAGAGAGTAATAGGGTGCACCTGCCACTGAGAACTGTTATAGTCAGTGCAGAAAACAAAACACTGTTTATTAACTCCAAAGAAATTAAATTGGGAGTAGCAGTGTTTTAGTCAGCTTTTTCACTGCTGTGACTAAAAGACCCAACCAGAACAACTGTATAGGAGGAAAAGTTTATTTGAGGGCTTACAGTTTCAAAGGTCTCAGTCCACAGATAGCCCACTCCATTCCTCAGGGCTCCAGGTGAGGTTGAACAACATGGCRGAGGAGTGTGGTCGAGGGAAGCAACTCACATGATGATCAAAAAGCAGAAAGAGCAATCTCCACTGGATAGATTCAAATATATTCCCCAAAGCCACGCCCCCTATCTCTACCTCCTCCAGCCACACCTTAAAACACTTCAATTACCACTCAGTTAATTCCTATCAGGGGATTAATCCACTGATTGGATTATGACTCTCACAGCCCAATCATTTCTCCTCTGAACCTTCTTGTGTTGTTTCACACGTGAGTTTTTGAGGAATACCTCACATCCACACCATAACAGCAGTCCACATTTGCAATGATGTTCTTGGATCAGAGAAGGTAGAAAGTAGTTATTTATTTTGTCATTGATCATTTACTTGTGGGAGATATTATGCAAAGCATTCTATATGCTTTGTCTCACTGAATATAATTTCAACTTTATGAAATGAGATATTATTAGGATTCCTATTTTTACAAATGGGGAATCTGTGACTTAGAGAAGTTGACTCATCTACAGTCAAACCCTAGAAAGTGGCAGAACTAGGAGTTGAACCATTGTATTTGATATTAGAGCTGTTGCTCTTGACCCTTAAGCCAGTGACTCTCAAACTTGAGCATGCATTAGATTCCCAAGAAGGACTTGATAAGACACAGATCATTGTGTCCCATCTCCTGAATTAATGATTCAGTAGGTCCAGGGCAGAGCCTGAGAATATGCATTTCTAATAGTTTCCCAGATAGTGCTGATGCTGTTGGTTTGAGATCCCTCCTGCAGGAACTGCTGCCAGGCAGAATGCCAACAATAAGTTGGAGAATAAACAGTGTTTATTATAGGCTCTCTATTATTTAGGTTCTCTCATCCTTGCTACGAAACATAGGTAGGAATTTGTATTACTAACATCAGTGATCTCCAGAGAAAACCAATAGGATGTTTATCAGCACATACAAGAGGCGATTTATTAAGGGAATTGGCTTATGCAACTATGGAGACTGAGAAGTATCATGATAATGCTGTTGGAGAACCAAAAAGGCCCAAGGAATAATTCAGTTCTAACTCAAGTTCCAAGAACAAGGGCAGCTGATGGTGTAACTCCCAATCCAAGGCCAAAGGCCTGAGAAGCAAGGAGGATTTTGGCAGGGGAGATGGGAGATTGGCTGGCAGGAGTTACAGAGTCTGAAGGTCCAAGGCACAAGAACCAGGAGCTCTGATGTTGGAGTGTAGAAAAAGATGGATGTTCCTACACATGAGAGAGAGAGAGAGAGAGAGAGAGAGAGAGAGAGAGAGAGAGAGAGAGAAAGATAGATATCACCCTTCCTCTGCCATTTTGACTTATTCTGTCCTCAACAGATTGAATGATAACCACCCACATTGATGAGGACAGATCATCAGTCTACTGATTTAAATACTAATCTCTTCCAGAAATACTGTCCTCACAGAAATATGCAGAAATAATTTTTTTGACAGATATCTGGGCATCCCGTAGGCCAGTTAAGTTGGCATTTAAAGTTTACTGTCACAGTATAGTTATCCCTGTTTTACAGATGAGTCAAATAAATAGCTTGACCAATGATGTGGTGTCCCAGAGCCCCACTGAACAATCCACAGATAGTCCCTGACTTAGGATGCTTTTTTGAGTGGTTTGTTGGAGCTGTTAAAGGCAAGAGAGAGAGAGAGAGAGAGAGAGAGAGAGAGAGAGAGAGAGACTCTGAAATAAAGATACTGGTGAGTGATTGAACTCCAAGTGCTCTACCACTGAACTATATCCCCAGACCATTTCTTAAATTTTATGTTGAGCTAGGCGTGGTGGCTCATTTCTGTGATCCCAGCAACTCAGGAGACTGAGGCAGGAGGATTACAACTTTGAGGCCAACCTCAGCAATTCAGCAAGAACCTGTCTCACAATAAAAAACAAATAAATAAAAAGGGCTGGGAATGTAGTTCAGTGGTAAAGTGCTGCTGAATTCAATCCCTAGTGCCATTTTTAAAAATTTTGAGACAGGGTCTTGCTAAGTTGCTGATACTGGCCTTGAACTTGTGATCTTCCTGCCTCAGCCTTTCGAGTTGCTGAGATTAACAGATGTGTACCATCATGGCTGGTCTAAAGGAGTTTTCGATTTATGATATTTTTGGCTTGTATTGGCTTTATGGGAGCATTACCCCATTGTCAGTCAAGGAGCATCCGTGCCATCTCCCCCAGCGAGGGAGGTCAGGCAGCACCTCTTTCCCTCACACCCTCTCCTGCAGTGAAGCCTTCCTGGCAGCCGCTGCCTCTGGGCTCCTTGCCCAGTCGGTCGGCTTCATCTCTGCTCTCTCCTCCAGGGGGGAAAGGATTTCTCTTCACGGTGGCTGACCTTCAGACTGGAGTTGTTCGCTATCACCATGACGACAGCGACTCCACTAAAGACTTTGTGGTCTTCAGGATCTTCGATGGCCATCACAGCATCCGTCACAAGTTTCCTATCAACATCTTGCCCAAGGATGACAGTCCCCCRTTCCTCATAACCAATGTTGTGATTGAACTGGAGGAAGGACAGACCATCCTGGTGCAGGGTTCCATGCTGAGAGCCTCAGACATGGACTCCAGTGACGACTACATCTTCTTCAACATCACAAAACCCCCGCAGGCTGGAGAGATCATGAAGAAGCCAGGGCCAGGGCTGATAGGTAAGTTCTAGGCAGTTAGGATCGTTTGAGTGGAACCGATTCTTCAATAGAGAACTTTCTGTGCTCCTGTGAGTTTGTTGAAATTGTGTCCCAGAATACCTTGTGCCAAGGTAGACATCATATGTATAAAGTAAAATACTATTATAATTCCCATTTTTTTAGATGGGAAGGCTGAGGCTCAGAGAAATTAATATAGCCAAGGTTGTGCATCTAGAAAATTCTAGAGCTAAGCCTCAAGGTAACCACTGCACTATGAAAAGTTAAGTTAGCAAGCAAAGTGCAGAACAAATAAGTCCAAAGGGAGACATTATGCCTGTTCTAGATGATTGACACATACTGATAATCATTTTATAAGTACTTCTTGAAGTAGGTAGGCCACAGGTTTGACAAAATAGGAATTGAGTAAATAATGTTACTTGGTTCTTTTGAAGTAAGACTATGTTTCTTGAAATATTTTTCCAGTGGTAGCTTTTCTACATATTAAGAGAGGGGTAGACATTTTAGCTTGACTGTATTGTTATTTATAAGCTTTGATTAAAAAAAAATTAATCCGATTCTTTGAATGCATATAACCTACTAGGCAGAGAAGACTTGGGGAGGTAAGTCCCATACCATTGTGCCCAGACACCTAAAAGTGTGTGGTATTTTGTGGACCCGTTAGGCTATCCTGTCTCTGGCTTTCTTCAGAGGGATCTGTTTAATGGGATCATTTACTATCATCACTTTGGTGGAGAAATCTTTGAAGATTCTTTCGAATTTGTCCTGTGGGACAGCCACGAACCTCCAAATCTCTCAGTGCCACAGGTAAGAAACTATTTCTGAACACTTATCCAATGTCTTCTACATAGTTATCAGCTCTGTCTYCAGAAAGTATGCAAAAAGAGGTTGTGAGACTCAAAGTTTGAGAAGCAATGGATTAAGCAAAATAAGTCAGGTTTCTTTGCAATGTGACTACTTAGGTACTTGCTTTTTTGGGGTGGGGGGTATGGGAGATTGAACTCAGGGGCACTCAACCACTSARCCACATACCCAGCACTATTTTGTATAGTCTCACTGAGTTGCTTAGCACCCCACTGTTGCTGAGACTGGCTTTGAACTTGCGATCCTCCTGCCTCAGCCTCCTGAGCCACTGGGATCATAGGCATGCACTACCATGCCTGCCTGAGTACTTTCTTTTTAAAGAGTTTTGTGATTATCTATGAATTCAACATTACTTAATCTTGGGACCCTTTTATATAAAACTTTGCTTGCTTCCTGACATTCAAGAAAATACTTATCTCATATATAGCAGTTAAAATATAAACTCAAGTTTCCTCCTGATCTTGATACTAACTGGGCAACCTGTGCTCTTCTTTCTTTGTATGAAAAACAGGTAACAATAGAACCTTACTTACAGAATTATTGTGAGGGTGTGACATAATAATCACAAAGTGTTGAACTTTCTGGTGCATGGTAAACACTCAAAATAAATTTTATTATTATATATTATTTTGAAAAACTAAGAGTTTTAGAAGATAGAGAGCTATATATCATATATGATACATAGAGGTTATAATGTATGTATAGAATGCAGAAATTGGGCTTAAGCCAACATTGTCATATATAAATTACATAAAATGGAGCCAGTGTAGTGTCTGGAAAATTGTGAAAGGGTAGATTTTTTTTTGCAAGGAGAGTGTAATAAGTAGTAGGGGTTATAAAAAGGACAGCCAGGGAGGGGCAAGATGGAGGATTAGTGTGAGGCAGCATTTCTCTTAGATTGGCTACTCAGAACTCAAACAGCAGGAATACCACATCTCCTTGAAGCTTAAAGTAAAGAGATCCCGAGACTAGAGGGGCAGCCTGCCCTAGCTGAACCACAAACTGCTTGACTCTTTAATTGGATAAAAAAAACCCCTCTCCACTGGAGTTTCTCAGCCATCTGTGGAGAGCCCATATGGGTGGGAGCCCTCTTGGGAGCCTATGGAGACTGGAAACCCAGGTCTGTGAGTTTGCAACTAGGCCTGTGTGGGCTTATCTGAGCCTAGCACCTGTGGAAAGTCAGAAACCAGGAGCATTTTGCCCAGGGGAACATAAGTTAGAGAGGCTGGAGAGAGCTGGGCTCTTCCTAGCTCTGTGAGTCCTGTGGCTCATGGGGACTGATGGGGCTGGTTTTAGTGGGTTAGAAGGTTAGAAAAGAGAGTGTGAGGGCATTTTTCTCTCAGCTCACACAGCCAGCTGGTCCAGCACCCACTGGGTTCCTGGGGCCCCCTGGGGCTGGCATTTGCTGGGTCCTGGCCCCAACCTGGTCCCTGACTCCCTCCCAAGTCTGGCATCCACTGGTCCCTGGGAACTGTCAGGTCTGGCATCAGTCTGGCATCAACAGGCTCTCCAGTCCACAGTGTCCTGGCCTCAATCCCTTCCTGGCCCCCAACCCAGCCCATTGCTCTGAGATTAGGCCCACAGCATAGCCATGGGCCCATAGCTCTGCATGCCAGGCCACTGCTTCACCACCAGACCCACCTGGTCTAGCACACAGCTTCATGGCTGGCCCGTAGATACGGGGCCTGACCCACCTGGTGCAGAACAGGTAGGCCCCTGATATGGCTGGGCCCCAACTTGCCCCACATGCTGCTTAGTTGTCAGACTCGCCCAGTCCAGCACACAGCCTCACAGGATCCAGTGCCAGGCCCTGATACACCTGCCACCTGGATGGGCCAGCTGCTYTTCTATCCATCCACAGTCCAGGTTCCCCAGAACACCACTTTGCCTCCAACCCTGCAGCCTGGCCTGCCTACACTACTCTCCCAAGAAGAGAATTAGAAAGTCTTAAACCCCAACCTTCAACACGGTGAGCAACACARTAAAAGGAAGGATGCACAACCCATGGCCCATACTTGCAAGCTTAGATCATACCTCAAGAAGAAATGAAAAGAAAACCAGGTGGGCACAGTCAGTGAACACATGTGCTTACTGACTATTTTGTTCACCATAGTAGATACAACTCCTTAAATCCTTAAYGTTTCACCAAGATCGATTGATTAATCAATCAATCTATCAATCTATCTATTTCTATCTTTTTTTCTTTTTTTGGTTCTTGTGACTTGTTCGTTGTGGCAGTAGTTCTGTGTTGCCTTTTGATTTGGAGTTTCCATATTGAACTTTTGTTTTATTTGAAGGTATACTGACTGATTCAAGAACTCTTACACATATTTATACTTGTTTCTCCTCATTTCTTGCCTTGTTTTTCTTTTTTTCTTCTTTCTTTCATTTTTTCCCCAAAKGTGTTATTTTTTCATGTTCTGTATTTTAAGGGTTATGACTTAGGTTTAACTTGTTTGGATTTTGTTTCATATCATTTCTATCACTACTCTCTCCTCCTTGTCTCCCTCTCTCATTTCTCTATTCCTCATATCCAAATTCCATTCTCTCTTTCCTYCTTTATATTCTTCTATTTTCCATCCCCTTTCAGACTAACAACATAGCCTAAGTTATCACTGCATCTGTCCTATTTACCCTTTGAAATTGCAAACACTTTTTTACCCTCCTTTCTTTTCTTCTTTCCTTATACTCAACTCTATCCTTAACACTTCTTAATACTACTTGAGGTACATAGTGTCTACCCCTACCACCAATGACACAGCAATAATCAATACAACAGAAGGCAAAGACAATACCTATTGTTTGATTTAAGCCAGACATAATACGTGATTATGAACTATTTTTACTGATGGAAATTGCTGATCCCACTATTCCTACATATTATACCAATTAACACTAGATATCAAAATAGGAACTAGACATCAAAAYAGGACCTACTCTACTCCTATATATTGTTTGCATACATTGTTACTATCACCCCCCTCACCAATCTGTGAGATACTAGTGACAGAGGGACACTAAAAACCCATAAGATAGAAACTCTGCAGCATCAGATCCATCCAGATAGATGGGTAGATATATAAACGATATAAAAATCAAGGGAACAAACCATCCCAAACAACACAAACTAACTCAACAGTAGACTCCATTGATACCACAGTGCAGGAAATGTCAGAAATATAGTTCAGAAARTTCATGGTTAAACTGATCTATGAGATAAAAGATGATGTAAKAAATGAAATCAGAGAGAAAGTACAATAAGTGAAAGATCACTACAACGAGGAAATAGAAATCCTGAAGAAGAATCATTCAGAAATCCTTGAAATGAAGATAACAATAGCCAAATTAAGAATTCAATTGAAAGCATCACCAATAGACAAGACAGTTTCAGGCAAAGAAGAAAAAATAAATGATCAAGAAAATAAAGTTGAACATGGGGAAAAAATGTTAAGAGACCATGAAGAGAAATTTCAAGCAATATGGGATAACATGAAAGACCCATTAAGATTTATCAGGATAGATGAATGCTTGGAGATACAAACCAAAGGAATACATAATCTTTTCAGTGAAATAATGTTTGAAAATTTCCTAAACCTTAAGAATAAAATGGAAAACCAAATGCAG